TACTAGCCAATAGAACAAATCAAAGACATGTAGAGAAAGTGATTTTTCTTAATATAAAAAAAAATCACTTTCATCAAGCTAATTGACCCTATAGGACAGGGTAGAACTTTTCCTGTGAGTTTCTGAAACTCTAACTATTGTAACTACTGTATTTATGAGAGTGGAAAGCCTTATCTTTCTCCCACAGAGGCACTAGTAGTTTCGATTGGCTGACTCTGTGTTAGCAGGCCAACTCTTAACCACGACACCCCCAGGGTCCAATAGCCCCTCCTTGATACCTGCTATATACAGACATACATGTATGCATATACAATTCGAGTGTATTATAGATATATTGGGGTATAACTAATATATTAAACTCAATCAATGGCAGAGGTTGAGTATATTAAGTAGGTTCTTAAACATTTGAAGCAGTATAGCTTAGTATTTTAGAGTTAATCGTTTGGGACTGGAATATTTTACTGGTGTTATGAGCCTCAGAAAGTTCTTAACTTACCTGTGGCCCAATTTTCTCTCCTGGAAAACTGTAATAATATTAGAAGTGGTGTTTTGAGGATGAAATATAGTTATTTAATTTACTTAGATCAGTGCTTATAACAGAAACAGAGTATATGTGTTATATATTTAAGAATTAGTATAAATGAAATATTGTGTTATTTATTATATTTAAAGTATTAACAATTAAGTTCTTTTTCTTCCTTGTGTACACTTTCTTGAACTAAAATCCTGTTTTAATGATTAACCAAACCAGTTACTGTCTAATCAATTCTAACTCATGAAGACCTGGTGTATTTAGAATAGACTCCTAACAAACCGTTTTTTTTTTCTTTAAATGTTATTGTTGTTGAGAAGATACACAGCAAAACATACACCGATTTAACCATTTCTTTCTGTACAATTCAGTAAAATTGGCCACATTCTTCAAGTTGCTTCTCATTCTCTTTATCTGAGCTGTTTCCTAACCCCACCTCCCCTCCCCAATATACACATGAGCACAAACTCACTGCCCCTTGTGGTTCCTGTCTAATCTTTCAAGTTGCTTTTATCACTTTGATCCCATACAGATTGTGCTTAAAAGGACATCGTTCTCAAGCCATTTTTCCCACTAGTTAAGCTACAACAAGAGAGAGACGTGCACATACACATTGCCAGCCTGTGTGTCATCGTCACATAGGGGACATGCTAATCTGTTCTGTATAGTTCTAATTTTAGTAAGTGTGCTGCGAATGGAAAGCATCTTCCTGTGAAATGTCCATGTCTGTAACTGAGAAACAATCACTGCACCTTTCCTCTGAGATGCTTTAGGATGTGTTGATGCCTGTCGCGTTTCTGTTAGTTGCGCAATGCTGCACCATTCAAGGTACTTAGTTTTTCCCATTAACCTTGAAATCTCTGGAAAATATTGAGAAACCTTTGATTCAAAACAGCTTTTGACTTGGTTGATCTATGATGAATTTCCCCCCCAGAATATTGACATGATTGATTTGACAATTTAATCCATTATGATGAGAGTTAATTTTGGGTAATGGAGAAAGAGAATAGCAACTCTTATGTTAGTCTGTGGATGAAGATATGAAATGCAAAAGACCATTTGCCAAAAGTAGAGGCTGTTTGGTGGGGTTCGGCCTTTAAAAAATGATCTTTGATCATATATGAAGCTGACGGACAATGAGACCTAGGACAAAGTGCCAATTACCAAAATATACAGAACTCTACAACAGCTCAATGTGAAAACAATAGAGACCTGGTTAACAAGTGGGAAAGGACATAAACTGACAGTTCACTAAAAATGAAGCACAAATGGCTAGCAAACACATTAAAAAATGCTCATGACCACTAGCCATCAAGGAGACGCAAATTGAAACCACAATGAGATACCATGTTACACCCACAATGCCAGCCCAAATTTAAAAAAACAATAATACAGAAAACAACAAATGCTGGAGAGGATGTGGAGAGATTGGAACTCATGAACACAGCTGGTGGGCTTGTAAATACATCTAGCCATTGCAGAGAATGATATGGTGAGACTTAAAACAGCTGAGAATTGAAATCCCACATGATCCTGCAATGCCACTATTAGGCAGATATCCTGAGGAAATAAGAAACACAGCACAAGTGGATGTTCATAGCACCGCAGTTCCCAATTGCAAGAAACTTGAAGTAGCTCAAATGGAAGAATGCATAAAGAAACTGCGGTACATATACACAATGGAATACTATGCATCCATAAAACAACAACAACAACAACAAAAACAGTGTTGAAAGCATGAAACCCCATGACATGGGTGGACGTGGAAACTATGATGCTCAGTGAAGTAGGCCAACCACAAAAGGACAAGTATGGTATAAGTCCACCACGTAAGAAGAAACACCAATTCAACAAATCTTAGCAACCGCATCCTGAACCAAAGGGAGGGAGGCTACCGACCAGCCATGGACCACCCATCGCCTCCTTTTTGCATGTTTCACTGGAAAGAAGAGGCCTCACACTGTCTGGGGTCATTCCTCAAGAGGAGGAAATAGGATATTACCATCCGGTTAAGGTTATACAGCAGCCAGACAAGGCTGAGGCAAATCAAGGGCCCACCCAGAGGAATGGAAGAAGATCCTTAGTGAAAACCAAGCTAAGAACCCGGGAGGGGTGCATCTACATTTTGAAGAAGGTGCTGATAGTTCTGTTGGGGACTATGGCGGGTGATTGGGGAGAAGTAACCTCGCGTCAGGAAGGTGTGCTCAACAATGATTGTAGGGAATCTAGGGGGACAGTGAACCAGATTTGATGTTCCTCGGTAGGCTCTATGAACACATTTCTACCCAACCCTAGGCGAACCATACCATGAACTAAGCACCACGGTGATCATGGAAGATGACCTTGGAGGAAGCAGGCATAACACAGGGGCTACACCAGAAGGACTTGACATAGAGGTCTGGCTGAATGAATTGAGGCCTGACTGAAAGTTGCCTCCACCCTTGGGTTGAGGACTGGGGTATTCAGATGAGAACGGAAGCAGTGGTAGTCATTAGACCTCAGGGGGAACCCCCAGATTGGGGGTCTCCAATGGAAAGGGCCTCAGACTCGCCATGTGTTTGGTGCCTCTCTGCAACCCCCACGGTGATGTGACAGTTTTTCATCTGTTGGAAGAACTGATCCAGAAGGTGGCCCCCTGGCCCCAAACCCCATGCAGAAGGTAAACAGACCACAATAGAACAAGATAGCAACCTGTATGCGGCAGCAGCTCATGGCCTGCAGCTCAAGGTGGATCTGTTCTCGCACAGATACAGTGGACCGACAGTGTCCTGAGTGCTGTGTCATTGGGAAAGGTGACATTATCAGGGAAGTCACTTTGCACCCCAGGGGGATGATTGACAATGTTGTATTTTTTTTTTGTTTATGTGCATTTTTGTTCCCCTGCCTTTCACTTGTCACCAACCCCAGCCCCTCCACCCCCCAACACACACACATTTTTGTTTGTGTCCCAGTTGGTTTGTTGCTGGTTCTGGTGTAATTGGTCCTATGGGGGGTTGATTTGGTCATGGGCAAACCACCTAGGTGAACCTTGGTCATTCCTATTCCATGAATAGGCAGATGGATGCTTGGTTCCTTCTTGACTCTGGCCCCAATTCAAGAACAGTCAGTTCTGAGAGCATGGCTCTGCTAGATACTTGTCTTCGTGAGGCGATCTCTGGGGATAAGCGTGCTAGAACAAAGAGGGGTGAGGAGAGCAGATGGTGCCTGGCTGTCGATCAAGATAGTGTCTGGGACCTTAGAAGCTTGTATTCAAACAAGCAGCCTTCTAAGCAAGGAGTCAACTAAGTCTACACGGAAGAATCACATGAACTGTGTGATTCATAGATGACAACAACAAAATTCAAGCATGATGACAGGAAAAATATCAGAGCTAAAATTGTGAACGCCCAATTTGTAGACGGCTGTGAAGGACAGTGGGAGCCCCAAATCCATCTTCAGAGTGTCTGGTCAGTTAGGCTGCTGGCAGAGGCTCTCTAGCCACAGCCACAGGTCTGGAACAGCATTACTATCGCTTGTAGATCACTGTCATCCTAACTATGCTTGATCAAGCGTGATAGGGAGTCACTTGACATCCCTCCAAACCCAACCTGAAGTTTGTCTAGGTCCAAGGATCTCTTGCTTCTTCCATGACAAAAATTTCTTCCCTGGAATTTTAAATAATGATGGTGGTCTTTCTTACTCATTGGTTCTATTTTTATCTTTATATTACTATTGTTTTTATCCTTGCCACATTATTTTGGTTTTCTTCTTTAATGTTTCTGTTGGGTGACCCAGTTTGTGAGGCACAGGAGTAGATGCATAGAGATAGTAACTGATACAAGGGTGGGGTGGCGATTTAGGGAGTGAAAAATGAGAGCGGGAGTGGGAGGGAAGCACTAGAAGTGAGTATCATTACACAACTCATTTTAACAGTGATCTAATCATGGGGGTGTGGTAAAAATAAAATGTTCTGAAATTTAAATAAAAAAGAATGAAGGAGATGCATACTGCGGTGGTAGAAATAATTTTTTAAATGTGTTTGAAATATAAGATACAGAAAAGGGAATTAATTTACTCAAATTTAAGACCTAAGACACATTGCAGCTCTTGTTTGGAGAATATTGTTTCTGTTATAAACCAGTGAGTGCCTCATAAAAGTTTCCATTCTGCACATTCTAGGTGAGACTGTTTATTGTAGTGACGACTTTCCACCGCATTGTTTATAGGACGAGTTTACCACAGCTGATTCCTCTTTTAATCTGTGTGTTTACCCACAGAGAATGCATATCATTAAGGCATTTCAGAGTTCTACATGACTATATTAATTAAATTGAGTTATATACCTATGTAAAGATTGGGCATGTTCATTATTTTAAAACAGGAACATTTACAAAATTGTACATATGAGGAAATGTGTATGTTTAAATATTGAGCAAAAGTCTATATGGGAATTTTATTTGTTGGTTTTATGCCCAGAATCTCCTCATCTTTATTTTAGTTACTATATTTGAGTGTCCTCTGAGAATCATTTCCACCCCT